TTTTTACTACATGCATATGAATATAATTACGGTACATACACCAAAATAACATTTTTTTACAATGTTTGTCTGTCTGTTTATTCCAGCTAATCTCTGAAATGTCTGGATCGATTTAGACGATCTTTTTTTGGCAGGTAGCTGATGTAATAAGGAGTAACTCAGGCTACTTTTATTTCAGAAAAATAAAGTTAAATTCCACGCGGACGAAGTAGCGAGTACAGCTAGTATATTATAATATTCTTTATTAAACTTCTAAAAGAACTTTATCTTTAACTACAGTAATTTCTATTTTAAAACTTGTATCCAAAGCGGCACTAGCAAGTTTTTACCAGATTTTGCTGGGCAGGGAGAGCAACACGAGGAGTGAAGATGAGTGTTGATGTACATCATCAAGGTACACCTAAACCTGGGTACTTGTGTCCCGGGAAATGCTGTGAGTTTCCCTCTCTGCCGCATGATGGTTCCGGCTCTTGCACGGTGAATCCATAAAATGCAAAGAAGCTCGTCTCTTGGTTATTGGAAAATTTATCTTCGTACCTTTGTTGCATGTTAACTGTCTATCATGCCTTTAGCACTTATCACACCTTCTTACTTCCGATGGTCGCAGATTCCCCCTCCGATCGATCCCCGTCTAATTCAAACGCGGATGGATATAACGATGGCCTGAGCCGAGATTCGAAACCCTAGCGGGGCCCTCAAACTAAAGCCGTATCCGTCAGGCGGGAGTTGGCCTTCAGCCGCTCCATAAGGCCTTCCGCGGGTTTGGAGTGCCATCTGCACTCGCCCTCAATCGTCCGGTGAAGCTGTAAAGGCCAGCTGTGGCCAACACCGATTAGACCGAAAAAAAAAGGTCGCAGGTTTGATACATCGCACGATACAAACATTTGTATTCTTGAGTATGATTATTAATCTGAGTGATTTCTATGGACCCACTTAGTTACAAAAAAAAAATTGTGAGGTCAACATTTCTATCATTGATTTAGAATCTATTTTACAAGCTCTGCTTAGTTTGGGACAAGATAACGCTGTATGAATTGATTACATGTCTGTAAGAGATTCTTTTGAGCGACAATTTTTTTTTATATAAATTAACAAAATGTGACCTTACCTTTTATTAATACATTTATATAAAACAAAATACTGAGCACATTAAAGAGTTATATTATTACTAGCTAACCTCGCAAACGTTTTGCCATATAAATTAAAATCGCTATAATAAAATAGGGATTGGTGATAGACGGTGAAAAATTAAGGTTGTATGTATTTTTAATGCCATATTATAAAAAAATAAATGTTAGCGGTGAACAACCTTTATAACTTAGGAGTGTGAAAAATATATAGTAGCCGATTCTCAGACCTATTACCAGCCGTTTTGGAGGAGTATAGTATCTAACAATTTTATGTATAAGATTAACTTAACAACATATATATCTGTCCTTGTACAAGCGGGTGTACAGCGGGTTACATATATATCACCACCCTTGAACGTTCCCTTTGTCCAATCTACTTAGGTATATTTTTTCTTAAAGTTAAATCATCGCAACGTATCGTGCCACAATATTGTACGTGACTGTACCTCCGTACGTGCGGCCACGTCTGTATGACAGTTGGTGTAAAGATCGTAAAAATACCAGGTATTAATGTTCCATTATATTCGAGTTCAAAACTGTTTCAATTTTGTATATAATAATAACAAGCTATTACTCGCAGCTTTGCTCGCGTTAAGAAGTATTATTATTAATTAGGTATAGCTTTTGCGTCTTTACTTTTGTTTCCTTTCTTAGGGGATGCCTACATCATAGTAGCTTTATGCATGCAAAGTCTCAGCCCGATCGGTTTAAAATTGACAAAATTTCATACAAACTTTCATCCCCTATTTTATCCCCTTGGGGGTAGAATTAATCAAAATCCTTTCTTAGCGGATGCCTACGTTATAACATCTACCTACATGCCATATTTCAGCCCGAGCCGTCCAGTGGTTTGGGCTGTGCGTTGATAGATCACTATGTCAGTCACTTTTGAGTTATATATATTTAGAAGATAATAATAACAATCTCAGGACAATTCACACAGCGCCATCTAGATTCAAGTTAAGTTAGCTAAAGCTTGTGTTATGGATACTAGATAACGGATACAAATACATAGATATATATTATATTTTTCATAAATAAATACATATTATACATTGAAAATACCCAGACCGATACTGACAATCATACTCATGAATACAAATTTGTGCCGTGCGAGGAATCGAACCCGCGACCATCGGAAGTAAGGCTGTATGCTAAACCGATAGATCAACGAGGCCGTTGTTTATATTTATATATAAATATTGATAGAATAAGATATATTATGGATGTACCATAAATGTAAGGTGAGGCTACTGGGGAAGATTAAGAAAAGATATAACTCGAGATAGCAAGTATAACTACTTGCATCATATGCCCAAGGAGAGTTGACGTCAAGAAAGCGGCTGGTCATAAGAAACTGAAACCAAAACCATACATTTAATTAATTTGAGGGAACGAATTGATGATTGACAGAAGAAGATACAATTTGAACACATAAAAAATACGGCGGGCGTCATATGATGTGATGATAAGTAACTACCTACTCGCCTCGGCTTTGCACGGGTGTACATGTATTATATATATAATCCTTCTTCTTGAATTACTCTATTATTTAAAAAAACCGCTTCGAAATCCGTTGTGTAGTTTTAAAGATTTAAGCATTCGTAGGGACGGATAGACAGCGACAGCGACTTTGTTTTATACTATGTAATGATGATACGGCCTCAGACAATTTAACACACCGCCTTACTTCCGATAGTCGCGAATTCGATTCCTCGCACGGTACAAATATTTATATTCCTAAATATCTGTATCAACCTCTTAAGTATCTGTAGTACTTATTAATAAATCGAATCTAAGGGCCATGTCGATTACGTCAACTTGCAAACAGAAAAAACACACCATAATCGGTGCATTTCTTTAAGCCATGCCACAGACGGATATCACACGTCACACATATGATACATGACTTTTTGCGTTGGGGATTAATAATTTTGCTAGTTAGCTGAATAGACTCATATTCGCACATCTACATGGGATTCTATGGATTAGATAGACATAACATACTACGTATGTGCTAAATTTCACGATGATTTGTTGAATCGTAAAAGCGCCAAGATGTAACAAACCTTACTCATGCATTTATTTATACGGAAGTAAGCATTGTACATCGTACGTTTGAATGGGAACATCCAAAATGGAATTAATTTTATGACAGACAAGCCATTTGGCAATCACATGCAAACACATCCATTTAAGTTTTGCATAATTTGCAACAAAAGACCATCCAAGTTCAAACACACCCGCTCCTTGGGTCTATATCATGAACAAACTTATTACAACTCAACGAACTTTATTTACATTCATAACAAAACCGGGTTCAATTTCATCAGCAGTACCTCGATTTAACAATTAATTACAGAATATAGTTTAAAGTTTTGCTAATTAATTGAGAGTACTTTATCTCCACTTGTTAGTGAGTTCGAAAGCAGCGAAGCTTAGAAACGCTGCGAAGTTTAACAACTCGAAATCTTGTAAATAATGAAGACACATAACTTGGTCCATAACAATTTATATACTTATGACATTGATACGGCGTATGTATCATAAATTCACATAATTAATTAAAAGTATAATTAGTAATTAAACTTTAATAACAACAACTTTTTGAAATATCTTTATTATTCATTTATATTCAGTGAGAGAGTCAAACTATTTTTGGTTAAAATAAAACCTATATTTTATAACTATTTTACAAACTAGGATGCAAACAGTAACATAGAACTATTATACATTGTAAAATTATTAAACATTATTATCAAAAATATGAATTCCTTACAATAAGCATAATTGTAAAAATCAGTTTCTTTAGTACTATTGACACTACGAGCTGTCCTCTCCGATCTATTCTCCATCAAATTGAAACGGAGATCGAAATTACGACGGCCTGAGCCGAGGTTTGTTCCCCTAACAGTGCCCTCAGACTAAAGACGTATCCGTCAGATGGGAGTTGTCCTTCAGCCGCTCCATAAGACCCTCCGCGGGTTTGGAGTGCCATCTGTATTCGCACCCTATCGTCCACTGAAGCTGTAAAGGCCAGCTGCGTCCAATAGCATTAGAGTAGTCCGAAAACTAAAAGCTGTCAAGTTCCTCTAGTGAATTAATTCTTTAATTACTCTTCATTTCAATCCAACCATCATTACGTATTAATTACGTATTAATAAGTTTATAAAATATCAGTTATATTTTTTTAATTATATTAGAAGCAATCGAGATGACGGTGGGCAATAAAATATAGTACGAGTAGTAAATATAGCCTCTGTACATAAACAACGACGAGCTATGAACAAAATTTTAATATTAACACCTATAACACTTCTGCATAATTACTCTAGGATGTTACCTTTTGTGCCCGAGATTTCCTGTATTACACTTCACATAAAAAGTTGCGCTTCATTACTGACTAAAGTTGTGATCACAATGCCAGCTTCCAGTGCAATGATTTTACATAGCTTAAGGTTAGAATTTTCACATTTCACACATATCTCATCAACGGTATCATTCTGTACATATTATTATACTTTGACTTTACAAATATTATGTAGTTTATTGCGGTTGTTGAATGATCTCTAATAGTAGTCCTGGAATCAGTACAAAATAACTAATGAACTGGATTAAAAGATTCGTTCGTTTCTAACACGTTTCAAGTTCACTTGATCAGGATGCAAACTCACTAAGAGGTTATATTTGGTATTGCAAAATTGTAAACAAAGTTAAAAGTTTAAATCACTCGATTGCAAATAGATCCAGCACACGAATGTTTATTTTCCTTGCGGTTTGACATCGCTATTTTAAGATAGGTCTTTAGGAAGTCAGAAGCTGTTTGAATACTACAAATATATTTACATTTATATTAAGACACTTGTTATCTCATGGTATGTTACTGTTATCAGATGTACAAACAGAATGTCTAACAGAGGTTACCAAAAAATCATATTCTTGAGACGAACACAGTGGAGTGTCTATTTGTTCGGTTATGTTGAGTTTAGAAAAATCTACGTCAAACATTTCATTCGAACTGCGATAATTCATTAAAGGAACAAATCGATGCCCCCAAATAATATCATTCTCAGTGTAACTCGATCTAGCCTGCACTGGTTGTCCAGTAGATTCTATAATACCTTCAAAAACTGCTAAAATTTCTAATCTACCGCAAAATAAGTCAGCTGCTGATATTTTGTACAAAGGACTCATTTCGTCGATTATGTGAACAACTGCAACAGGCCATAAAAAGAAACTAGATTCACAACCGTCTAATTCCACTTTCATTTCTATTTGTTCGGCATCATCTAAAAATTCAGAACCTATTTCTAGTTTAACTATAAACATTGATACTTTAATATTTAAAATTCTAGACTTTCTTATATCACCTACTCTAAATATCATACATAATTTCTCGTCTCTCAGAGCAATAATAGCATTTTTGCTAAAGAGTATTGTCTGAGTTCTTGCTTTAGGCCTTGTTAATTTTGCAAAGAGGATACCAATCATAAATGATTGGAAAATTGAACTAAAGATACATTGTATACACATTGCAAATATTGCATCAGGACATTCTAACGTTATGGCTCTCTTGCCATAAGCAACAGTGGTATGAACTTCAATGCTAAATAAGAAAGTTGAAGTAAATCCATAAATGTTTTTTATGCAAGGGGTCCAATTAGACACATTTTGATTTTGAGGAAGATGATCCTCAGACAAGTCACCGTGCCTAAAAAGGATGAGCCAATAAACCAAACCGAAAAACAACCAATCGACAATGTATGTTACGAAGAAATTAAGTAACGTCCATCGCCACCTGGCTTCAACCAAAGTGATGAACCAGTGAGAAAATATTCTAAATTTGGGATTGATAAATTTCTCCACATTTATTTCTCCATTTTTCTGCGTAACTCTTCTTCTATCAGATTTCCTGCGATTTTGACGTGTGCTGAAGAATCCTGAAATTAAAAAATATGTATTATTTCTGATAAAGGTAAAGCATTTAACTATAACACAAGTACATCTTTCTCACTAATTCGAAGTGCTTTAAATGAGACTGTATAATCATTTTCAAATACAATTTTTAGTTAAATACTCTGCAATAAATAAACGTTTTAAATTACTCTTGAACTCTTACTTACAATTAGAGAAAAGAATAAATAGTCGTAATAAAACTTTCGATATATTTATAAATCTATAAAAAAATACTACCAAATTGCGATATAAGAAAATGTCTAATCTAAGAAATGATAATAAATACTATATTTTCACAAATACTAGATATAGTATTTCTGAAAACATATTAACGTTTGATCGTTCTATTTTTGATGTTTTCATAAATACTATAACTACTGTCTTATTCTTGTATATTGTTTCTGATATTTATTAATATGCAATGATGTATTACAAAGAAATATACTAACTGTTATTCCTTGGATAGTAAATACCAGGCGTTAAAATACTCGATTCAACCGAACTTTGTGAACAGTGTCCATTCTCAAATATCCTCCTTGATTTATTTGTCATATCGTTTTAAATTTAATCTGTGGAAATTAGGAATATGGTAAGCGTATTAGTTTGGCTATACATCTAGACCAGAGGTTCCCAAACTTTTTTGTGTCGTAGACTCCTTGTCATATTTTTCGGTTTTGGGTGGACCCCCCCGTTCTTACCTGGTATTGATTTTTTGTAAATTTCTAACTGTAGTAAAGTTTAGTGTTAAAAACATAAAGTAAAAATAACAAGATTATCGCTGTCGTAGACCCCTTGCAGTTTATCATAGACCCCTGGGTCGATATAGACTTGGGAATCACTGATCTAGACAATGCTGCCAGTATCTTAATTACATCCACACGGGTCCATTTATTATAACTTTTCTAATCTATATTAACATAGATGATTAATATTCAAAAGACAAATGAGAAAAGAAAAGTTTGAAACTATTATAGATAAACTCAAAAAATACTTGAGCTATTTTAATAACATTTTCACTTATAAAAAATATATTATAAGCAAATAACAGATATTTCTATTGGATTTGATCGTTATTTTCATCCTGTTATTGTTGTCATACAATAAATTTAATCTGAATGTGGAATGTGACAATACTTTATCATCATATAATTTTTATGTTCCACAGTTATATAAAATGGTTAGTAGCTTAATATAGAATTCAGGAGCAAATCCCAGATTTTAAATGTTAGAGACGATACATGTTAAGTGTTAAAAAGCATTGCATAAAAATTAAAAACTAACACAACTTTACTGCTTTTCTGTTCGACTTTTTTCATTTTTTTAAACATATTCATCTTAATATGTATTTGAAGTGTAAGGAGCAAAAAAGAACAATAATATTATACTATATATATATAAAAAAATAAGGTCACGTATATACGTATGTATTAATATTGTTATAAAACAATTTCAAAAGGCAAGAGCAACAGATAAATAGATAAATAAGTAGATATACTGTACAGCAAAATATATATAAAAAATACTAGTCACAATATATAGCGAAAAAAAAAAATACGTATGTAATATTACAGTATATATATATATATATATATATATATATATATATATGTATAAAACACTAGTCACAGAAAATTAAGAGCGAATTAGTATAAAAAAATATGTACGTATGTATTATAACTGTTATAAAACAATTATAAGAAAAATCATTTCAACGGACAAGAGCAACAGATAAAATATTACAAAAAAACTGTATACAACAAAAATGTTAATAAATATACTGTACAACAACATATACATATATAAAATACTAGTCACAGACATTAAACAACAAATAAGTAAAAAAAAATAATTAAATTTAATAGAATTCTTACCTTTTGTAGATCTTCTGAACACAAACGTCATGAGATAGATAAATAGATAAATATTAAGCATTATATTAGATACGTATACGTCCATAGATACGGAACGAAGATTACGTATTAAAACTTTTCCGAGATAACTGGTTATAACTAGATAACAATGTTAGCTATATTTAAAAAAAAATATTTTACAAGCAAACAATGCTATAATTCCGTTTTAGTTATTTCTGTCGTGTTGTTCATAATGATATTTGTTGCTGGCAGCTCGTCCAGCATTCTTTTCTATTCTATTCTATTCTATTAAGTGGTGAACTCTAGAGTCACCTCCGGTTTGCAGACGACAAAGTATTTGCCGAAAACACTACAGAGCTAGAGACAACGGTTAATGAACTAGCAAGAGAGAGCAGCAGAGTGGAACTAGTGCATAACTTATCAAAAACTAAACTACTGACTAACGGGGAAAATATAGATATACATAACCTAAAAATATATTACCTTCTAATACATATAATTGAAGTTGAATATATTGTAGTATATAGATTTTTTTTATATAACACAGGGGACAACTGAGCATGCGGCTCATCTGATGGTAAGTGATTACCGCCGCCCATGAGCACCCGCAACACCAGGGGAATTGCAAGTAAGTTGTCGGCCTTTTAAAAAGGAATAAGCTCTTTTCTTGAAGGTTTCAATATCGTATCGGTTCGGAAATACCATTGCTGGAAGGTGATTCCACAATGTGGTATAATGATATTGATTAGACTTTTTCACTGTGAGCCCTTTTGGGCTCTAATAATAAATATACACAATCTAATAATATATATATATATATAATAAATATATACATTTATTATCATTATTGAAGATTTTTATTGATAGTCGTTGAGATCCCGCTCCAGTCACAAACTTCATGTTTGCCAATTCTGACTGTTTGACATTCCATTCTAATGAATTATATTTTAAAATCTTACTAATAAACGCGAAAGCCTGTGAGTATAAATGAATAGAGTGGACGTTCTTTCACACAAAAAGTACTGAACAGATTTTGATGATACTTTACAGTAATATAGCTTACACATCAGAATATATATAGATAAATATATATAAGTAATGTAAATTGGGCGAAATGATGTATCAAAGAAGTGTAATGTAGAAGATGTTGCGACGGTCAGATAGTAACCTATATTGTTATAGTTGTTCAGAAAAGGAATGTCTTTTTAGTAAATGAAACTTACCAATAGTTTTCTTGATATATTTGGTATAGACTTGACAAGAAACAAAATTAAAAATAAAAACAAAAATGTCAAAAACTGTATAGTAAAACACATGTCAAAAACATAAATGATGTCCTTATAGTCTGGCAGTTTAGCACACCGTCTTACCTCCGATTGTTGCCGGGTCGAATCCTCGGTGGAGGTCTTTTTAGTATATGATCTTTAAAAAAATTTACAAATAGTTTTCTTGATATATTTGGTACAGAGTTGACAAGAAACAAAAATGGAAAAAAACCAAAAATGTCAAAAAATGTATTGTAAAACACATGTCAAAAACATAAATGATTGCCTGATAGTCTGGCAGTTTAGCACATCGTCTTACCTCTGATGGTTGCAGGCTCGATTCCCCAGTGGAGTATCGCCATGTTTAAGATATGTTGTAATAATATTGTTTATATTATGAATATTGTTTCATGATAAATACAAATGAGTAATGATAGATTATATCCAGGAAACGATCCACGCATCTAGAGACAATTTTCTTACGGTGTCTATTGTTCTATATCTCTCATAGGATACAGTTATTAATTCCATCCTCCCCTTAAAATGGGGATGGAATGAGTAATGACAAATGATAAGTGTCGTAACATAATTAATTATATTGCCACGTTAAGAAATTATATGAATGTAAAACTGGTGTAAATAATACTAAATGTACATATGTCTTTTTGTGTTAACATATTCGACGGTCTCGGTGGTCTAGCGGTTTAGCATACCGCCTTAATTCCGACGGTCGCGGGTTCGATTCCTTGCATGGCACAAATATTTGTATTTCTGAGTATGATTGTTCGTATCGGTCTGGGTGTTTTCTATGTATAAATTGTATGTATATACGAAAAAAATATATCTATGTGTTTGTATCAGTTGTCTAGTATGCATAACACAAGCTTTAGCTAGCTTAACTTCGGTCTAGATGGCGCTGTGTGATAGTCCTGAGATTATTACTATATTATTATATGTTGTAGCGCGATGGTTCACATCAGATGAACATCAGATGATGGTTACAGTGGTGAGGTGATGAATCACTGTAACGGTATATATGATATGATGAAGTGTTGCTACATAATTATTGTTTACATTAAAATATATGCAGTAAGTATCACTGTGCAAGGAATCGAATCTGCTCGAAATGTTTTCTATGTATACTATGTATGTATTTACAAAAAAAAAGTATATATATCGGTTGTCTAGTACCTATAATACAAGCTCTACCTTGGGACTAGATGGCACTGTCCTGTAATTGTCCAAGATTATTTATTTATATTTATTCCTAGCTGTTCCCGCGACTTCGTCCGCGTGGTTTTTAACTTTTATTTTTCTAAAATAAAAGTAGCCTAAGTTACTCCTTATTACATCAGCTACCTGCCAAAAAAAGTCTCGTCGAAATCGGTCCAGCCATTTCAGAGATTAGCCGGAACAAACAAACCGACAGACAGTTAGACAAAAATTATAAAAATTGTTATTTTGGTATATGTACCGTATATATATTCATATGCATGTAGTAAAAACGGTTATTTCAATATTACAAACAGACACTTCAATTTTATTTATATGTATAGATTAAAAACCAATATTCTTAATGGCCGTCTGCCTCTATTACTTAAATTAATTCTGACCAAACAATCAACAGGGTTTCAGTAATATCAAAATTATTGCCTACTTCATTTCTTTTCACAGCGTTCCCTCCGAGAAAGAAGGGTGAAACAGGATCTTGACAGATGACAAGCAATCCTTTTTAGATGTTTATCATTCTATTAGTTAGGAAAGAAAACGTTTGTTAGCTGGATATCTCGGACATATAATCAATTTGGAGATGAATAGAAGAAAAATTTTATAGAAAACAAATACTTTATACAACTTTTAATTAGTCAAACTAGCGGTTATTTCGTTGAAAAACATTTTCGAGAATTCTTAATCCTTATTTAATAAAATTATATAAGTTTTTATATCACTATTTGTACCTGATAAATTATATTTTTTAACCTCGGTCGTCTAGCGGTTTAGCACAACACCTTACTTTAGAATGTCGTGGGTACGATTCCCCGCATAGCACAAACGTTTGTATGATTGTTTGTATCGGTCTGGGTGTATTCTAAGTAACATATTATATATGCATTTACGAAAAAAATGTAACTATGTATTTATATCAGTAGTCTAATAACCATAACGTAAGATTTAACTTTCGGAATAAAAACAAACAAAAGTTAATTAAAGTACTAAAGATCTGTGTGATCTTCTGTAGCTAATAATTTCATTAGTATTATGTAAGAATTGCAACTGAAATATAGCATATAACGCGCATGGATGTTCTACATAGGCGAGTCAAAGGTATTAATGTAGACGACTGTAAAGTCTCCTCCATTTGTTCGAGATATATTAGCGAGAACTCGTACAGTTCAATGTACATTGCTTCCTCTAA